GAAAATCGACCACGTCGTGCTGCCGGAGAATAGATGTCTAACATCGATGTACTAATCCTCCCCAACCGACTATTCGCTGTGTCTTAAGGCGTTGCATAACCAACTTTAACTTACCCCGCATGCGTCTTTGCCTCCGAACGGACTGCCAGCACAGATCATTACTTCATCGTTAATCTTCTTACCGTACTTTTTATAGTCCATTATGCACTTCTCGCGATCTACAGTCCACACTCCAACTTCAAGTAGCAGGTCGCTGTTAAAACCGAAATCTTAAAATAAGCGTGTAATTAATTAAGTACCAAACTGACCATCGTACTCACATGAGGTAGTGCCCCAGCCGGTGGCGTAAACTATTTCACCTGCCTCATACGTCGTTGATTCTGGCGGCAAACAAATCGGTTGGATGTTAAATTTAAATTCAACCGGGTCCGACAGCTGCAAAAAAACAAACTATGTAGCTGTAAATCTGGACCTCTCACGAAGGAAAGAATGCTCACCTATGATACAGTTATCTAATAATGTAAAGATTTTTGACACCCAGCTTTGAAAGATGCTATCCTTGTTCAAATAACTGAGCATATATGTCCAAGTTGTAATATCTCACCATGTTTACAATGTTTAGATTATCCAAACGACGGAAGCATGACATTTTTCATGATTTCCGAATATCAGTATAAAGCAACCTCGTTCAATATAATAATTTTCGAACGATAATAACATAATGTACACCAAATGTGTCTTGCTGCTGGCTTACAGGCAAAGAGCTCAGGATATCGAGGTTAGCTGAGAGAAATCAAGAGTGGCAGACATGTAGCAACGATTTCACTGGGTATGAGCAAAACAAGTTCTTTCCTCAGCGACAAAGTCACAATGCTCAATGAAAATCAGATGTCGAGGCGAAAATGACCCGGCCCTTTGAAAGATAACGCCCCCGCCTTGCGGTTACATATCGGTTCGTCAAAGACACAACAAGAGACGGCGATAATGAATCAAAACTTGGGCACTCGTCTGTAGGAAAATCTTCAGTCTGTCGTCAACTCTGCCAGCGGTTAGCAAAACGAGTAAATGGACCTCAGTTCCCTGCTTGACTCTCGACCTCTTCAACAGCAGCGGTTCGAAGTTCGACTAACAAGAGGCTGCCAAGTATCCTATGTGAAAGGCCTCCACCTGGTAAACGAACATTGACTTCTGTCCCGGACTTCCGTTGCACCTACAACTGTGGAACTGTGGCAAGAGATGACACGCTAACTGATGGAGGGAAGGTCAAGGATGGCCTACTACACCCTTGACCTCTGTGACACAGAAAAGCGAGAAAAAATTAACGGCATATGTCAGCATGGTAATCTCATTTGTCCGAGAAGAGGAGAGGGCAAGAAAACAATAAAAGGAATGGGATTTGCAGTCAGCCAAGGCTGGTCCTTCAAATCGCCTCCTATCACGAGGAGCCACAAGATGTTGGTGCAGAAAGTTCAAAAACTTGGCTAAAGATGATCTGAAGAATTATCGCATAATCTGCCTGCTCTTGCACGTGTACAAGCTGTTCTCTAAGGTCATCAGCAACACTATAAACAGGCCTCAACCAACAGTAGCAATGAGAGCGGGCAAAATTTCAAAGGAGCTACAGCACAGCGCATAGAATGGAGTACCACCTGGAAATCGTCAAAATCAGTAAAGTATTCGATGCTGTCGAGTACAACTGAACAGAGCTGTCGTACAGTCAACAACA